CACACACACACAGGCAGTGATGGGTTCTGTTATTCTGAGGGTAAAGGAGTTGAGTGGAGACAGTGAAGGGGTAAAGGAGGGTGAAAAAAAAAGAAATTCCACATAGAAAAGTCAGCACTCACTCCAACAGCCATAATAACACACGGGAAATAACACATCCCATTAAACAAAACAAGTCAACCACAAGTTAAAAGCAATAAATAATAAATAAAAACAACTTTGCTCTTTCTTGGCAAAGTTAACACGCTTCCACAAAAAAGAAAAAGAACACCCCAAAAATTCAATCTTTTTTTTTTTGTCGTAAGAAAGCACACTGTTGGGCTGACAACACCACTTCATAACTGCACACAAAGCTCTAGGCTCTATTCAAATAAAATAAAAAGTCAAATGAAACCCACGTACATGCATCTATAATCACCATTGTCAGAGCTTGTTTGTGTGTGTTTGAGTCTACAGGTAATTCCTTTTCTCTGATCTGTGACTATGTTCGCAGAACTATTCCACAAACCAGCAGCAGTTAGCTTAACCGAGAGCGAGCCTGTCGGACCAGAGAAAGATAGATAACATTGAGTCAGGCTGGAAGTTTCCATCAGTGTCCACTCAGCACACAGACAGACACACACACACACACAGACACAGACACACATTCTTGTACTTCTATCTTAGTGAGGACACGTATTGGCATAGTGCATTCCTAAGCCCCTTACCCTAACATTAACCATCACAACTAAATGCCTAACCCAGTTGAGCCATTGATTTGTGTTTTGGTGGATTATATTTATATGCCACACCTTTTTATGTGTGTTTGTCTGATCATATGAATGATACCTGTGACAACCTTTGGGATTAGGTTTATGATTGAACTAATTTATCTATGAATTTTATCTTAATGAGAGGGAGAGAGGGAGGTGGTGCTTCTCGCTGCCTTGCTCTGCACCGCCCCTCTCGGTTGGGGTGCACGGCGTCCCCACCACTGAGCTACCCATCCACTCACATCCTTTCAAACACAACACCAACAACATCCCTACAACGACTCTCAGAGTCAATAGGCCTGTTAACAAATGCACAAAGATGAATTTGCCTACCCCTAAACCAACCCTAATTCTAACCCTAACCTTTACTATCACAACTAAATGCCTAACCATAACCTCATTCTAAACCTAACCTTAAAAGTAAGTCTTAACCCTTAAACAGTCCATTGAAAAAATTGAGGCCCAAAATGTCCTCACTTTCCCAAAATGTCCTCACTCTGTAAGATCTATGCCTAAAGTGGTCCTCACAAAGGTATAAGTACACACACACACACACACACACACACACACACACATATTTCCAGAAACAGGCAAACCTAGAAAAGGCAGTTTGACTGGCTGACTTAAACAGTGATGCAGAGACACATACGACTTAAAGTCCACCATTAATTATCAGCAATTATTAATACTGGAGAAAAACAAAACAAATATCAGACCAATAGTAACAATTATCACACAGAAAAGATGAAATCAGAACATGTTTGAATTACTTTCAAATTGTGTCTCTATACGAGCAAAGAGCAGCTCTACATTCTTTAGTCCTATGAATACTTACCCATAAGGCCTTTGGATGAACGCAGGGTGGATTTGGGGAACACCAAAGGTAAAACCTGCGAAACAGAGGGAACAAAATAAACGTGTCACTGAAATGCTCCTCAATTGATGACATCATAACCACCAAACATGTCTTAACATCTGCAGAAAGCCTGAAAATCAAACTAAGCCTCAGGTGAAAATCAGAAAGGATTGGCTTGATTTTCTTGTTTGCTGCTTTGCTAATAAAACCAACAACTGATTCCAAACACATGGTGCTTGCTGTGTTGAGAATTCCAACATGAGGTCAACAAAACAACCATATATGCCCATGGCATGTTGAATTCTGGCTGAAAATACAACTTCATGTTTCGATCCTCATTGGGGAGTCTTTACCTGGCTGCATCACTCGAGGCTTGGCTCCCAGATAGGCCAGGTTGACATTGGCCTTCCTGCCGTCAATGATCGGGTTGGGGTCCTTGCAGGCCCGGTCTGCAGCCGAGCGATCCGCCATCGTCACCTGGCAGAGAAAGGAGGCACATACATGCACAGGATGGAAAAATTAAAGATTATTGAGGTACATATTTAAAGTAAAGTTGATATTTTCATATTTTTTCTGCAGATCTTCTGAAGCAACAGGTTGCCATGGCAGCAGTGAATATGGTGACGAATAAAGACTGAGGCCTCTTGAAGTGACCAGACGTGTGTTTAAAACAAAGGTAGAAAACATTATGTATATGAGGGTGTGTTCAACTTCTGTTATCTCTTACTGTGTGTGTGTGTGTGTGTGTGTGTGTGTGTGTGTGTGTGTGTGTGTGTGT